TGTAATACGGTTTGAAGCACAGTTTTTGTCTCGGCATGCTCACTCACTCTAGATTCCGGGAGATTTTAACTAATTTGCGCGCATCAGGGAGCCGCTATCAATATGCGGGAGACTCCCGCGAGACTTGTAATGTCTGCAAACTGTGGATTAATTGAAGCGCGAACGTTGTCAACAGAACTCACTGGAAATCCAAAAAACTTCCACACCTGCGGCTTCAATGAAAGAGGAGGGGGTTCAAGTTCTGTTCATGGGTCTCCTGCATCAGCAGTTGCCACGCTATCTTTTGAATGGCTGTAGCTAAGTTAGAGGAGGTTGACCATATACTTGCAGCGCTTCAACACGCGGGTTTTTTCCGCTTGACAAGTCGATCTGATGTGACGTGGGGGCGTGGCCGCATCGACGATTCCATTGTTTGATATTGTGAATTTCGATCGATTTCGATATAAAATCGAAATCGTGACACCCTTACAGACGGGGTTGAGTGTTGAGGTTTTGAGCTTGTGCACGCAAAGTCGGAGGCGGATCTGAAGAAGCCAGCGTCTATCAACGACCGAATGTGAACATGTCTGAGTCAATCAAGTAAAAAGAAGGAGGTGGAGGATTAGAAAATACCATTGTGTTTATTCAAAGACACGAATAGTGATCGGGAAGGCTTTTGAAAGGTGGAGAGAACTAAAAGAATTTAAAGTCCCTGTAAAGTCAAAATTAAGTATTTGTTCTGAGTTTGTCACACCACAGAAAAATGTGTAATTAGCCACCCAGCCAAATTTGAATGATAAAAAAAGTCGGGAAGTACATAAAATAAGCTATCAAAATCATGAAAAAATGAGCAGATTCTCTGCTCTCAAACGCTGGGGGCGTGTCCGCTGGCTGTGCTGAAACCACGCCCACTCACGGGAAAGCTGTTGACGGTGATATTAGCTGATTAGCTTTTGGAGACGGGAGGATGAAAGCTGAGGCGGGAGATCGTCGTTTCGGCCCCGTTCACCAGTAACAGCGGATTATCAGTGAATCCAAGTTGTCTCTGAGGAAAGTTTATAAAACGATCCAGTGTAAAACGATCACTACAGAGGCGGGTGTTGGCGGTGATCAGCTCTTCATCAAGGTAACGTTAGGCTCCCTAAAAACCTCTTCTTGATGTGATCGTTTTTAAGGGAATTTAAATTAAGATACCGATCTGTTTTGTACATGATCGCATCCAGGTAGTAGCCCATGCATGTCCGTGTCGAAGGCATAGCTAGCTAGAAAACTGTAGGATCAGTTGTAGTAACTAATAGTACTGACAGTCGTTAGCGATTGAGCGGTGAATGCGAATGTTGTGCTCGGGGAGTGTGTGTGGAGAGAGGGTCCAGCAGCTCATGGGCTCCAGTGCGTCATCGAGCCCTGTTTTAGCCCCGCCCAATTAATCCGTAAAATTGCAATGGTGAAAAACTGTTTAACGGTCTAACTCCACATTTTAGTACTTCACAGTTCACAGACTTTGTAATATGTTTTAGCAATACATATGTAACTTTTATAATGTGTTTAGAACTTTTTTGTAGAATTGACTTTACAGGGACTTTAAAAAATGTAAAATCGGGCGCCGAGGTTGCATTGTTTCTTCTTGACAGATGAGTAGCTGCTAATGCTGATTTATTTATTCATTTATTTATTTTTTTGTTTGTTTTTTGGGATGTGATTGTGAACTGCATGTGAAAATATCCTTCTTAAAAAAAAAAAGTGAGTGAAGCTCGACAGGTTTGTCAGGATCTCAGGTTTGATTGATTGATCTCGCTTCAAACAGAAGTAGGGCTGCAACAACTAATCGATAAAATCGATTATAATCGATTATGAAAATCGTTGTCAACGAATGTCATTATCGATTAGTTGGTCTGATTACGTCACAGGGATTGTTTACATGCTACATTCGCTTCTTACATGCGCTTCATGAGGCACACACGCAGTCTCTCTCCCTCGCCGGTCTGTGCGCAACACGGACGGTTTGGAGCACATTATCTTCTGTCTCGCATGCGCACTCTTGATTCTGTGAGTTTGAACTAATTTGCGGGCATCAGCAAACCGCTATCAATAGGCAGCATACACGAAAATCATTCGCCGTTTTGAAACCAAAATAGGTGACCTACGTTAATCGTGTATACTTTATGAAGCCATACTGTAGTATAATGTGAGATAGAAATGTATATTTAAGTCATTAAATTCAAGTTAACGTAAGCTTTTCCCTCCACTGCGGCTGTCAGTCATTCTCTATTCGGTGTTCAAACAGCGCGTCGCGTTACAACAGTTAACATGATGATCTCTTTCCAAGATGATTCAATGTTATTATTATAATTGATCCGTAGATGAAGGTCTATGGTTTCGTAATATAATGGCTATCTTGCTAGACTTTTATTGCTGTAACTTAATCACTTTCTACTGAGTGTCTGTCTGTTAGATCACAACAGAGTAGACTCGGCGCACTATAATTGTTCTTCACGTGCACAGTAGCCTAACTGAAATTTAAAACTGTTAAAAGAAAAGGCTTAATAAACTATTGCAAAGATACTGTATAATACACAGTCAATATTGCTTCCTCACTAAACAGCTGTGCTTTACATTTAAAACAGTTGTGCATCTGATTTTTACGATGTTTTTCATGAATGTATAACAACAATACTAAAGAGCAATGTGTAACGTTTTCCCAGAGATAGTGCTACACTTATTGTCTCTTATTTTTTCCCCACTAAGGAATGTTTTTTTCACTAAATGTTCAGATTTTATAAAATTATTGTGCACTTGTGATTTTTCTAGGCTAAGTTTTGCGGAGTTATCCACTAATCTAGTTT